CTGCCCTTCCCTGTGATGGTAACCCACCCGTCTTGCTGGATGGTAACAGCTTTCGGGCGACTCTGGGGGATCCTTTTAGGGTCCTCCGGGAGTAGCCCCGGTAAGGTAATCCCCTGCCTCCTAGCAGTCCTCCTCAGGACTGGGCAGCGGCGGTCGTTTGCCGTGTGGTTCTTGCCACAATTGGCACATTTGGGTTCCTCTTCCCTACCCCTAGGGCATAGGCTCGCAATGTGCTCCCCGGCACAGCGCACACACCTCACTGGCCTGAAGCAGTTGGCGGAGGCATGCCCGAAGGCCTGGCATCTGTGGCATTGAGCCGGTCCTACTTTCCTTTGCCAGGCCTCGATGACGACCCCTCTCATAAAGAGGAGTTCGTCGATATTGTATAAACTCTGGAGCTGCTCCAGGCTCAGGTGATCTAGTTGGGCAAAGTAGATGCAGCCAGGTCTGCCTCTACGTGGTGGTATTGCTTTGACATATTTGATGGGGAAGCCTTTTGCCCTTATGGCCTCCTCTATTGCCTTGGTATCCGTGCCCATAGGTAGTCCCCGGATGCCCACTTTAGTGGGCTTGTCCTCCTCCGGGGTATAGCAGTACCAGGACAGCGTTGGTGTTTCCTTGGTCAGCTCCACCATATAGCGCTGAACCGTACGGAACTTGTTGGCACTTTGTGGCGTGAACCGTACGCCTTTCCCGAACGGACGGGCATTTAAAGGGTGGCCCAACATTCTGTTGAGCTCCTTAAAATGCCTCGTCCAGTCCGGTAGCATTCAGCCACTATTGGTGGATATCTAGTCTTTTCCTGGTCGGCAGGCTTGTCAGTAGGCACTGCCGCCGGTTGTGGGCGTGGTACTGCTGGTGCAGCTACCATATGGGCATAGCTGGTAGATGGTCGTTGACCATCATCCTGCGGGAGCCCGGACGGATTGGAAGTTGCCACCGGCGATGATCGGCCGGCGGATGCTGCCAGGGTTGCATAGGTGGTCGACCCCCAGCTGTAGGATTCCTCACCCCCCTGCTCATACTGAGCCGAATCTCGGCTACGTCGATCTGGTGATATAGAGCGAGGGGGGGGTTGTGGTGGAGAAGGCGACTTCGGTGGTGATCTAAGCACCTTCTTCGTTGTCACCACCTGATGGTACCTTTCATCTTCGGATGAGGATGGAGCTTCGTCTGACGACAGCTGGGAGCCTATCCGTTGCCTCTTCTCAAATAGGGAGGCTTCGGTCTCTGGCGGCGTGTGGCGTCTGGCCGTTTTCTTGGCCCGCTGTTGTTGGGGCGACGGTTCCTGCCTAACCGTGTGCTCAGACACGGGGGGGGCGGGCTCGGGGAGACGGGTTGTTATATCCTATTGTAGTTCTCTAAATTTATTACGACTGGGGTGCCCCCTATCCCTACCTGACATGTTACTAATCCTAACAACGTCAGTCGAACTCTAAAAGGCCCTATCTAAAATATGGTGATAAAAAGTTTATGGCTATCAACACTTTGGCCTACCCCTTTTGTAACCAAAAGGGTTGGGGGAAGTGCGACGGTGGCACTTTATGACGCGACTAGGCACAGGATGCTCGGAGCGCATAAAGTGCCAAGAATCACCTAGGGGCCGGTGACCTCGACGCCTCACGGAATCACGGGACTCAACGTTCGGCGGAGTATGTCGTACCGGCGGTCATTTACAGCCACTGCTAACTGCAAATAACGCACACCTAGGAGATCCTATATAACCATAACGCCAACCATGCGCGCGAAGCCATATTGTATTAATTTAATCGATAATTTTCACTATCACATACCTATTTATTACTCCATATCTTTATTGCCCATAGAAATATCATAAAACAATTATATTCCACATAATGTACAAAGAAATTGTTTGCATGCAATCCCTATTTTTGTTCTGTTGAGTTGAGGAATGTTAAAAAAATCAATGTTAGTACCTATCAACTTTTGTTTATACAAAATCACAATACCAGGTCAGAGTGTATTTTGATAAAACAAACCATGTTTATTTTATCATAATACACTCTGACTGGTACTTAACAGTAGCTATTCACACAGTTTAGTTTATCTATAATTACAATCATTAGTTATAATATCTAAGTTAACGTAATTGATTACAAAATTTGAGTTTAATTTGTTTTGTTTTGTATAAAATAAATCGTATTAAACATGTCATACATACATCAAAATGATCTTCAGAGAAGGAAGAGGGTCGCAGCAGGACTGTAAAAACTACCGTGGCGTCAGCCTTCTTAGCATTGTGGGAAAACTGTATGCTAAGGTACTGATTGAAAGGGTCATGAAAGAAACTGATGGAAAAATTTGGGAAGTGCAAGCGGGATTTAGAAAGGGAATGGGATGTACAGATCAAGTTTTTTCCATGCGCATGATCGCGGAGAAGTTTCTGGCCAAAAACCAAAAGGTTTTTTGTGCGTTCATGGACTTGGAAAAGGCCTATGACAGAGTGGATAGGGATTTGCTATGGCAAACACTGAACTCATTTGGGTTGAGCGCTGGCTTGATACAGGCATTGGAGTCTCTTTATAGGGACTCTAGTGCTTGTGTTAGGATCAACGGGGTCTACTCGGACTGGTTTGACATCCATAAAGGTGTCAGACAGGGCTGTGTGGCTTCCCCCGTGGCTGTTCAACCTATTTATGGACAGTTGTTTGCAAAATTTGAAAGTTGAAGAATGCGGATTAAGAATGGGTGAGTTAACCGTCAAATGCCTTTTGTACGCCGATGATCAAGTTATTGTTGCGTCGTCGGCGGCCGAGTTGCAAATGATGGTTACATTAATGAACGGATCATTAAAAGAAAGGGGTATGAAAGTGAACGCAAGTAAGACGAACGTTATGGTTTTTGAAAGAGAAGAAAGTAAAACGATTTGTGAAATAAGAATAGAAGGGGAGTTGATCGAGCAAGTAGATGAGTTTTGTATATTTGGGCTGCGTATTTAGCAGGGATGGGAGATATGATAAGGATATAGAACGACGAGTGAATGCGGGAAATAGAGTAAATGGGGCCTTGCACTCTATTCTGAAGAGTCAAAATGTGTCGAAAAAGGCACGTATGGCAATTCACAATGCTGTGTTGGTCCCTACTTTAATGTATGGTAGTGAAAGTTGGGTGTGGCAGAAGAAGCACGAGAGTAGAATAAACGCAGTAGAAATGCGGTCGTTAAGGAGTATGTTAGGGCTGAATCTGAATGACAGGGTAAGAAATTGTGTAATAAGAGAAGATTGTGGTTTGCAAGATGATGTTGTGACCAGGATTAAGAAAGGAATGCTTCGGTGGTTTGGTCATGTGGAAAGAATGAATGAGGAAAGAGTGACAAAGAAAATTTATGGTGCAGAAGTGAATGGCAGAGTCGGAAAGGGACGTCCTAGGCGAAAATTTATCGACCAAATTGGCGATTTATTGAAAACGGGCCAAATTAGGAGTACCCTTAACCGACGAGCATGTATGCGTAGGTGTATGGATGTGAAGGAGGCAAGAGAGGTGTGTCAGGATCGTGCCAGATGGAAGTCTGTAGTCTCTGCCTACCCCTCTGGGTGACAGGCGTGAGTGTTTATGTATATGTATATGTATGATCTTTAGAGAAGAATAGTCTAGATTTTGTAGACAATGTATTCGGGTATCTTCTTGCCAGTTTTAACCAAGTATTTCTTATATTTAAATCAGATGTAGGTACTTGAGTCTTAATAATAACTTTCCCGGCGTTCTAATGCTCGTATTTTTGCATTCAAGCACAACACAACAATGACATAAGATTATATATATATATATATATATATATATATATATATATATATATATATATATATACTCATTATTAAACATTGAGAAGTATCTTGTTCTAATTCTAGACAGTTAAAATTCTAGGACAGTGACGTGACGAGTTGAACAACATGGCGGCTAGCGATTCGTGCGAAAATTTAAAACGATAGTTTAAAAGTAATTTTTATGGAACTATTCGGTTTTAAAAAGTTTATATAAAATTATAGTGGTTCATTATCACTCAAGGATTCATTTAAAACACTTTTTGAAAATGGGTGTAATATAATTTTCCAAGCAATTTCTTATAGTCATCCTTAAATGTCGAATATAAACTTTATTAATACAATCGTCATTACTAATTTCACATATCTTAGACAATACCTACAACAGTTCAACTCAGGAATTTAAACCTTTAAGCACAATTAAAATGACAAATTTTCAGCGTTATTAGATACTCGTGTGAGTTGATAAACTCTCGAGACCCTATAGGAGGCTCTTGCCATCCCTTTTTAATATTTATATCCTTGTCTGACTTATACACTATTTCACTTTTGCATTAAACTGCCCTTATCTGACATATTATTGATATATCTTATCAGTAATTAAAACATTAATTAAAAGTGCTAAGTGTAAAAAGATAATGAAAAGTTCTCAATTCATTAATTCACGTAGCCGATTGCCATGTTATGCACGACTCTAAGTTAATACAAATATCTTTATTTCTCTCAGAAATTATCATTATTATCGTTATTATTATTATCGTTATTATACGTTTATCTTAAGAAACAATGAATGATTTAATGAGATGTTATCCCGCGTCGCCAACAATATTATAGACTTTAACTTTACTTTTAAGTAAGTACTTACCACCTACACGTACTTACCACTTGTATATTTTTGATTTAATTTCATCATCTTACAAGATTTAATACCAGTTCTATCTCTTTATTCAGATGAAAAAATAAAAACGGTGATGAGCGTCTTTGATGTTCATCATTTTGATTTTTGACATTGAACCCCTTATTTATTTTGTTGACTTATTCGATTTTTTGTGTAGATCGGTGATGCGTGTCGTCCATTTGAAATCTGGAAGTATAAAATATTTCCCGAAATCTTCGCAATGTTACACATCAGCATATTGTGAAAAATTTCCTGTCTGCGAATTGTAAAATTTTTTTGTGTACATAGATTTCATTTGAAAAATTTTTCTTTGTCAACAGATTCCGTAGTATTCGACAATAAAAGCGCGTATTTACGCAACAAAAAGGTATTTTATAACGTTCTGATCTCCATACCAGAAAAGGACCTCAATTTAACGGACGTGCCCGAAGATGTTCCGGAAGCTACTAAACAACTGGCCACGGCGGATAACACTGGGTTGTGAATTATTTTAAGTTTATTTAATTAGGAACTTTTACAAAGTAGGTTATCAAGGTTTTGCTATTGGAGAGCTAAATTGTAAAATTTGGACTGTGTCCTTCATAGGAAGGAATATATACAGGAATATTAAGCTTACTAGGGATCCTGCCCGGCTTCGCACGGGTGATATTTGGATCTCGACAACATGTGCGTGTATTATAATACATATTATAAATCTTGAATCATTCGGTTTATTGATGAAAACCGCATCAAAATCCGTTGCGTAGTTTAAAAGATCTAAGCGTACCGACGGCGGGAAGCGACTTTATACTAAGTATGCTTATTACAGTTATAATTACTAATTCATTGAAATTTTTGGATAACCTACAAAAAGCATTTAAAATTACTATTATACGTATTGATTGATATTATTTCCTATTTCGCTGAATGTGAAAATAAATACGCAGAAAATCTCTTTGACATGTTTGTAAATATGTAATTTTAATAGTACACATATTTAGAAACTATTCGTAAAATTCTTTAAATTATAAACGTAAATATACAGTTAGTAATTCAAAAGTTTAGAATAAAGCGAGTCACAGACTACGCAGATACGATATCTGCGTATAAAAACTTATTTAAAAATTTAAAAGTATAGTTACAGCCTATATACGTCCCACTGCTGGGCAGAGGCCTCCCCTCATTTCGGAGAGGGTTAAATTGAAGTTGAGACTTATTTATATATTATAAGAGGGTGAAACTTATTTATTTTGAAAGTATCACACATTACGCAGATACGATAGTATACGAAATTATACATTCATTCGAAATCCTTCAAACTTACTACACGTGTATTTTGGAGTTGATTGTTTATAAAGAATGTAGGTAACATTTTGTATAAACTAACAATGAGTTGGCGTTAATGACGCGTACTTGTACATATAGAGGTCAGTGGTTGTCATATAATGCTTTTAGATTTGCTTGACAGCTCGTCAAAATACGAATAAGATTTTGATTTTTATGCATATGTTACATTAGCATTTACTAAAAGGCGAAGAATTGGGATAAAATGTCATATAAAGTATTAAAAGGACCGAGGCGAATTTAATCGCATTTTTTCAGCGACCATCCTGTACTTATCTGCAGGTAAAATCCTATGCCATATTTGTATCTTGATATGTTATCCGGAGAGATTAATATAAACTGTCTGCGCTGTTGTCTGAGTCCATTGAATTTCATAGGGAGCGATATTAAAAGATATGCGTTCAGATACAGATATCTTATCGTATCTGCATAGTGTGTGACTCACTTAAGAACAACAGAATAGCCGTTCTTAAAGCCTTCATCAGGCACAATCACGGTAAACGACAGCAACACCGACCGCCGACATCGATACTGTAACGACACCCATATCGATACAATACCCGCAAATACTAAGTACCCAATATCTTTTTTGCTATACAATTTTTTCGTCCATTATATATATAGGTACGTATTCATATTAAAATGTTCCTATCTGTTCTTATGCACCTACTTATATCTATCTAATACTATTCCATGACAAAAAGACATCAGAAGCGGTTAAGGGTGATACTAGTAATAATAAATAGTAACGTTAGATATAAATAAGAATTTTTTACTTCAAGTTTTCCATTAAACATTCTTTTTTCAACAAGAGGGTTTAATGAAAAACTTGTAGGTAGGTATATAAATTTCAGGTAATTCTTTGCGGCAGAAATATTTTATGCAAATATAGGTACTACACACCAATACACCTATATTTAATCAAAAAATTTTTGTTATGTTTGATTAGAAATTGATAAATCATTTAAAATGCCCTTAGTATATTATGTAGGTACATAGAAGAAATACTCTACTAATACTTTGGTTAGTAAAACAATCATATTATTTTCAGGACTGGTTAGTACTTTTAATAACTATAAAAAATTATTAATAGTACTAACCAGTCCTTACAATTTCATTATAAAATAAGTATATGAATAAAGAATTTCATTTTCTGTTTAAATACTATAAATCTTTATCGTTATTTTTAAATACAAAATGTCGAGGGAAAATTTTACGTGCACAATGTACAACCCGTGCGACTTAACTATGCACCTCGCGCTGTGACGTAACTCTGGTAGTACAGTTTGCAACATTCATATCTTTTTGTTTTGTTTTTCAACATTCATAGATAAAGTTTTTTTCGTAATAATATTAAAAAACAAACAAAGTAGATTTAAAAAAGATTAATTCTTGCTACTGAACGCACAGCGCGAACGCGGTGCAGGAGGGAAAGAGAGCGAAGTGCGCGGTTAAGTCCCGCGTGCTATAGGTGTATATATTACAAATTCTAACTCATTATAGTGAGTATAATAAGATTTGCTCAACGTATTTTATATATTTTTTTCTTATTATTAAATTATACATACTTAGAGTATATTCTGTGATAAATCTTTGTTATATTAATATAATGTGTAATCTCATGCACAAATATCTGTATTTGTAATCTTTTTGTTTGATTATAATTTATTGTAATCTGTATTTTTGTGTCAGAGGGAAATAAATCAAGTAGTACAAAAATTAAGTATATATGTTTGATTCTTTCATGTGTTATTGGTCAAAAGCTACAGAATTATATGAGAAAATATAAATGCACTTCGTGAAGATTATGTTGCTATAAACATTGTTATTGTACTACGTAATAGAGAAGCTATTCCAAACAAAAAATGTGCACTACTCTGTATCCGCACATGCGCGGAAAACAGTAGTCGCGCATGCACAGTTGACATAAACGCGCGAAATTTGTCATAATAAATAATTGTTTATTTAGATTGTATTGTTAATCGAGTACATTTTTTTGCCCATGAATGACCCACATTTTTTTGCGAATTTAAGGATTTTTAATAGGACATGACAAAGGGTCGTCGAAAAGGGCAGAACAACGTCTGCCTGGCAAGCTATTTAAATATAAAATACAAATACTTTACGGCAAATGATTTATTCAATATTATAATTTAAACTACAAGTTCGGCATAAAATATAAGAAAATTTAATTTTATAGTAAACATAGGCACACCTTCGTACCTTGTTGAACAAAATGCGTAAGTGACGCCGTTTCGGCGGAGGCACACGACACCTTCGTACCTTGTTGAACAAAATGCGTGACGCCATTTCGGCGGCGTTTACGACTTTTTTCACGCGAGCATTGAGCTACAATGCTTCCTAACTCATTTTCTCTCACGTTAAATCTTACGAATTTATGTATCTGTCTCTTTTTACTGTCGCTTTTTCGTTTCATTGACTTTCAAATCACAACGATGCTAAAGAAGTTTTCACTTCAAAAAATATGTAAATAGTGACCTTTAAACTTTTTTTAAATATTTAAAATAGGTAATAGGTATATTTTTAATTTAATCAAGAATTAAAAATATTCTACTATTAATTATTTCCTCCTCTTTGTGAAAAACATTCATTTTGCTGTAGACACCAGTTGCCGTTATATTAACGGCATTACTTCTACGCTAATACTTTTATATGGAAAATATTTTAACTGTTAATAAATATTGTTTTTTTAGGGGATTATTTTAAATATTGCAGTGCTTTTGTACCTTGCTTTGAATAAAGTTGATAAAACTTAATTTTTGTATTATTATTATTATATCATTAATAAGGACTTAACTTTTTTTTAAGTCTAGACTTCAAGGAAGAACGTACGTCTGTGTCATAAAATTGATTTTTGATTTAAAACTTTAGCAGAAGCTGTAATTGAATGAAATCATTTCAAAGAATTTTTCTCCTCTAGCCTCTATCCTCAGTCAACGCGAGCGTAGGCAAATTGATACAAGGCGAGTGCTACACTCTACACTCTACACGTTGGTCACGTTCGAAAGAGACCAATTCCAAGGCCAATGTTCACGAGTTTTTGTGGACATTGCCTCGTCATTACACGTCGACGCTCTCCTAGCTAGCAGAGTGCAGGCGAGCGCCAACGTGTATACGATTCGTTTGGCGTTCCTTACCGCCCCTCGGGATCGCTTGCTACGAGCTACGACTCGTCCACTTTGGAACAGTCTCGTTTTTTCTGCACAAATAACGGAGCTTGCCTGTCTGAACTCGGTAAGTCGCGTCCACATGTCAGTCGGCCATGTCAGTTACAATTTGGCGATGGTCCCAGTGAGATATAGTTTTAATTAAGTTGCAACTTTAAAATAATTTCGACAATGTTGCTATACACTAAAGAGAACATCTTTAAGTTTTTTTTTATAGAAGAGGGGGAAAACGAGCATGCGGCTCACCTGATGTTAAGTGCCTACCGCCACCCATGATCAACCGCAACACCAGGGGAATTGCAGGTGCGTTGCCGGCCCTTTAGAAAGGAGTACGCTCTTTTCTTGAAGGTCCCCAGGTCGTATCGGTCCGGAAAAATCGCTGGTGGTAAACCATTCCACAGAGAGGTTGTACGCGGAAGAAAACTCCTCTTGAAACGTACAGTGGTGGACCGCCAAGCATCCAGATGGTGTGGACGGTATCGGGACGTTTACCGCGTAGTGCGTTCACGAAATTTGGCGGCTGGGATTAATCCGAACAATTCCTCAGGGCACTCTCCATGGTATATGAGAAAGAAAATGCAAAGAGGTGCAACATTTCTTCGCAGTGCCAGTTAATCGAGCCGATCGGAAAGCACTCGGTCGTCGACGATTCGAGCCGCTCTGCGCTGGATGCGGTCAAGTGGAAGGAGCTGGTACTGGGGAGCCCCAGCCCAGAGATGGGAACAGTATTCCATGTGCGGCCGAACCTGCGCCTTGTAAAGTTGCACGCCAATCTTTTTAGAGGCCAATTTGGCCTTCTCTTCCAAGTGACCACGAAACTGCACGTCACTCTATATGTCGACGCCGAGGATTCCGATACTGGCTGAGGCAACAAGGGGAGTGCCTTGAAACTGAGGAGATACGTCAAAGGGGTTCTTTTTAGCGGTTAACGCGCAAACTTGTGTCTTCTGGGGGTTAAACTGGACTAGATTTA